GACATGATATAAATCATCTGTCCAACAACTGCAGACAGATCCACACTATACACTTCCTATATAATCAAAAGGAAATTACTGATAGGGAGAAATTTCCCATCAGGTCCTTTCCATGTTCTCACCGCAACGCACAGCATGCATTCAGCTCCAGAGGGAGCTAAACACACTCCGCCCAAACGCTAGATTACCTCAGAAATCAAGCAAGAACAAAAACCGCTGCCGCGAATGCATCGCTATTCCCGCGAGAGGCGAACGCACTCATGCAAACGCTATCTACAAATTCGGGTAAATGGTGAAGTACTCACCTCCCCCTCAGTAGTCCTGCGAATGCATCATGATGAGCACAAGCTGCCTCCTCGTGAGACGAGCACGTTCAATTCATGCTTATCCCTCACAAGAAATAAGCAATGAATGCAGAGCGCATCCAACTCCCTCGAGAGCTGAACGCGCTTGCTCTTCACCACACACACACACACAGCACGCGAGCCGTGTGAAACTGCAGGTATCAGAGCAAAGCCTCTGGCGAGAAACATGCACTCCTAGTCGTGTTTAGCTTAACGCTAACATAAACAAACGGTCAGTGAAGACGAAGAAGAGCATGACGTGTTATCCCGGCGCCCTTTTATACTGTGATCGCGCAGGGTAATGATGTCATAGGCTGTCGCCGGCCAATGTTATTGTCGTTTTTAGATATATGCTTCAGACACCAGTCACGCTGAAGGCGTTCCCCATAGCGACCTCTAGAGGACGCAGTTCGAAGTTCCCTCGAAAGGGAATTGCAAATTAATACAAGAACACATACAGACACTTCATATTTAATGTTATTTGATGATTTCTTAATTGCATTTATATATATTATACTTTCAATAAAACATTTGCATTTCGTTTTAAAAGCTGTTTTTACGCATGTTTTGGCCTGAGGTTTTGTTGCATTTATACAGTTTTGACCAGCAGGCGTCACCAGCGAGTGTCGTTTCGAGTGTCCTCAATCATAGTCCTCATTATGCAGGAGAGAATTTTAATGTTTTCCTGAAGTATGGCTTTAATGAGGTGTAGATGCTTGCTTACCAGTGATTTTGAGAACCACCTCTTCACTCCCATAGGAACTTTCTCCAGTCACATAGCAGTGAAATGAACCTTCATCTTGTACTCTGAGTTTCTCCAGCTGTAGAGAGACGTCTCCATCCTTCAGTCCACCAGACTGATCTGACCGCAGAGCCAAAGAGGTTCGGTTCCTGTACGGTTCCTCCTGGACGTCCTGGAGCTTCCCATGATTATAGAGCAGAACAGGGTTGCTGAACTGATCGTGACGGTACCAGCGGATCTCCAGAGCTTCAGCGTTCTCAGGAGGAGAGATCCAGCAGGGAACAATCACTGTGGATCCCACATGAGCCGCTATAGGATCACCAGGAACCACTACAGTGAATGACACTGAGAGACAGATAATTAATTATTAATTTACTACACATATTTAAGGTGCAGTCGAATTTTTCAGTCATTTTATTAGGGATCCACGCAATTGGGAATTCTCTGTGAGGGTGAAAGATTTTGAAACAGGTTCTAGTTTTTTTGTGTGGAATCTGCAGATAATAATAGTTATTTGCTCCTATTGCTGTTATTTGGCTGGCTAGTTTTTTAAGGAAGAAATCTGCTTGTATTTTGACTTAGTGTCACATTACCCTAACATAAGTACAGTCTATATGTAATAGTGCCATAATATCTAATAGAAATTGATCATGTATATGAATTACTCGGAAGCCATGAAACTGAATGAAATCCAAGCATGTTCTTACCTGAAGTCTCTATGAGGAGATTCACCACGACAATAATAATCGACAGCATGCCTGTGAAAATACAGACAGACTCCAATAAAACAAACTCTGAGGGAGATTCTTCCAGAACAGGGTAGAGCGGGAAGTGTTGTAACACTGTCATCAATATCATACACTCCCATCACAATTTTTGAGCTTACAGTAGAAGTGTCATGTGACTGTGAGCAACACTGTAGCGTTCCAAGACCAAAAAAACTGATTTTCAGGAAAAAAAGTATTTTTGATTAAGATTTTTTTTTCTTTTCATTGTGTTGTAGATACAATTATTTGACTTACATAACCTAAGCTGTTTCTCTAGTTTAATTTGATACTTTGCACTCATGCTAACTTCAAACCCACATGCTAAAACAGTTAGCTATGCTGTGGCTGCTCGGGGTGGGTATAGGTAAAAACCCAATGAGTCCAGTTATCCAATCACATCCTCTGTTGTGGCAAAGTCATGTGAGGTTTTTGTTGTGCATCAAGGGATTTATGTGGTAAATTTCTAGAATTTATGTGTGTTTTTATGTGATATTCCAAAAAATTTACATAAAAATAGGTGGAGAGCAACATAGATAGTAACAGAACCCGTGTGACAGGAATACAGTACACACACACACACACACACACACAGACTCTCTCTCTCTCTCTCAAACAACCACACGGCAATTATTTTTGTGATAAATTTATAATAAGTCCTAAAAGAAATACAATCAAATGTTTTTGTCACTTTAAATAGTTACTCTATTCAAAACTGATCATTCTTTGTTCTTCAGTAAATGTTTTGCATAAACTGGAAGTGTGAGTCTTATTTCATTAAACTGCCTCTCACTGTTCCAGCTGTCCCCTGCGTTACAGCTCACCCAGTAGAGGATAGTTTGTAACAACGGAACTATTAACTCACTTAACCACTGAACAAAAAAATCTAATAGGTTATTGCGACTTTTTATCTCACAATTCTGACTTTTTTTTAATGACTTTATAACACGCAATTGCGAGATATAAACTCTAAGAAAGAAAGTCACAATTTCGAGAAAAAAAGTCAGAATTGTGAGATAAAAAGTTGCAATAACATTTTTTAAATGTTTTTATTCAGTGGCGGAAATGGGCTTCCATGAGTTTTATTTGTAGTAGACAAATGTGGCTCTCGTTTCTGAAAGTTTCAGAGATCAAGCACAAACAACCCCAGAGTTACTGATGCTCAAGCTTAAAGTGTTACTACAACCCCTAAAATGATAAGAGAGACATAATCGATCAGATTGTTCAATGAAAAAAACAAACTCACCGGAGACAAAGACTCCTCCGTTACAGTAAATCACAGCAATCAAATGTAATAAACGTGTAAATATAAACGGTGCGACAGACGCAGATCAGCGAGAATCCAAGCTTACTTTCATTTCTAAACGGTCAGATGATGAATAACGCTTCATATACGTGTGATTCTGTAAGATGTGTGTGTGTGTGTGTGTGTGTGTGAGACAGTGTGTGTGTGTGTGTGTGTGTGTTACGAGGCGCGTGATGCGATTGAACGTGAAGCACATGATGATATGTCCATGTCCCCTGTAGAAAACAACATCACATGAGGGGAAAGCCTGAAATATGCGGCGCGTTAGATTATGAGAAGAAAGATCATCATTCTGTTCCCGCGCTCGACGGATCAACAGCTTTGGGGAATTTTACATTTGAGTTCGCGTGCTGTCTTTTTTTATTATTAATAACAGTGTTGTATTGGAGTTCAGAGTTCATTTTAACTAGCAAAAGACCAAAAGAGTGACATATTAAGGAAAATGCTTGATATAACTTGCATGTTTGTGAGTGTGTTAATGCATGGAATTATTTACAACTCTACTATATCGCATTTATGCTGATCTCAACACTCTGATGGTCTCTTACTGACAGACAGAGAGTGGCACAGAGAGAGCGCCACCTACAGGCGGGTCAGGAAACCTTCAGTTCATTGATAACTGAGAAATCTCAGCTGTTTTTGTTTTGAATCTGATGTTAGAGTAGTTTGGTCACAACCCTTTAATGATTTGGTCCTAATCAGCCATAATCATGACAAGTTATGAGCATCATGACTTTTCTTCGTTCTCTTATATTTTTATCTTAAAATGTATCACATCCTTCCTGGTTAGGAAACAATGTTGCATGAAACAGAAACTTCAGTTAATGAGTTTCTGACTCGTTTGCATTTTCTTCTTCTGACAGCATCTAATCCAGCCAATCAGCCGATGGCTCCGGAAACCAGCCCTCGTGTCCAAGAAGAGGAAAATCAAGAAATCAATCGAGGACGAAGCTGTAGACCAACCTGCTGAACAGCGTCTTTGGACAGATATCTCACACTCTTCTGCTCTTGTGTCAAACTCATCAACTGTTCCTCACATATGACTTCAGAACACTTAGAATAAAGCACACAAGTCATGTGTCAAACCTTAAACTTCCACATCAAATCCAAATATTTCAGTCACACGGATAACTGTGCGTTCACATGCTGATGTGTGAGGTGATTATATTGTGTGCTTGTGCTCTCTGAAGCAGGACGTGGTTAAACCTGTGCTAAATGAGGACATCTTTGTGGAGAGTTTTGCAGAAAACGTTGAGAAAATTTAAACGTGAAAAGATTAAATGGATTCATAATTTTAAAAAATGTGTCTTTGTTTTGAGAACTGAATGAATGGTTTGGGAAACTGGGCCAGTAGAACTGTAAAGCATATTAAAACAGTCATATTAAGACACCATATCATTATATCATATTATTTCCATAATGGAAACCGCGACTGTCTTAATATGATATAATATGACTGTCTCTGGACATTCTGCTGAACGTCTCCTTCTGCACTTTTTACCATTTTATGTACAAGAAATCATTTCTCTTCTGTTGATGGTGTTGCCTGCATGAGTTTCCTCGAGAATCTTGAACACCAGAGCATTTGACCAAGAATGTTCCTTGCTCAGTAGAATTAGTTCAGTTTAACAGACTTCTGTTCTATTAGTGTCATTTTACACCTCACAAACTGAGCAGAAATGAGGTGAATTCAGGAGAGTTCAGTCGATTTCCTCTCAGACTCACCAAACCTGTTCTATCCATGTTTTCTTCTGCTTCAGCGCACATGAGTCACTTCAGCAGTTACAGTTCCTGTAAGTATAGCAAAGAACAAACAACGTCTTCCTCAGAGTTTCCTCCTCACAGTCTAAAATCAGAGAAAATATCAATGGAAGGTTTAATTGTCAGTGTGTTTCAAAAATATTCCAGAGTCCAGACTTTGTAAACCACATTACGCTTTAACCCTTTCAGACAGAGAGACAGAATATCTGATTGAATCATTTGAATTTTCCAGACACGAGCAGTGTCTTCTCTACATTAATGCTGTTTGATTGTTAGTAATGACACAGACAGTAGCAGGTCTCTGTTGGCAGCTATTAACCTGAAAAACTTTCGCAAAGGTTTTGATTTATGCAAAGGTGAATCCCTTCAGCATGTGTGTCAAGACATGTGCTGTTATGTCATGTCATGTGTGTTTTAGTAGTTGAATTTCTTTCAGTTTGACACAGCATCTTAAAAATGTTTCCTCGTATGTGAGACGATGCAGAAGACACAAGTGCAATGATCAAAGACGTCTGTCTAAACATCGATTTACTCATAGTGTTGATTTAGATATTGTTTAAGGAATTATACTTCGGGTTTTATGTGTATGTGAAGGGCTGCGTACAGTGGCGTGACCGTGATGCAAATTTCATCACCAGAATAATTTGTGCGTACTGTACATGTGTCACACTTCTACTTCTACTTCTTCTGGTCTCATACGCGTCCAGCTATTTTTAGCTGTACAAAACAGTTCGTTTTGCTGCTTGATATTGAAAATTGTTGTGTCTTATCATATTATTTTAATGTATTATTTTAATTATGTACACACTGGTTTGTAGTGCAAACAGTTTTACCGTTTACTGCACGTTGTTATTCTCCTCATTATTTACCTATAGCGGCTAATGAACCGGAAGTCTCACCCATAGGCTTACTTCTGCGTTTAAGAAAAAGGTGGATAACTTCTGGAGAAAAATAGCGCAGACACTGGACAAAGATGAAGCTTTCTAGAGCGTATGTGTCGACTGTATGCATGCATACGCCAGCGTACACAAACAAAAACAAGGCATACTTTTGGGCTTAAGTTCTCATGTTCAGGCTTGGCATCACGATTTTGTAGTTTTTGACTCACCAGTAATTTTGAGGTCTTCACTGCCACATGAACTTTCTCCACTCACATCACTGTGCAACATAACAAACCCTCACTCTCTGCTGTATACGTTAGTCTCTATATGACCATATATAACATAATCCTACACTGCCTGGCCAAAAACAAGTTGCACACTCTTAATATTTCATTGAAACACCTTTAGATTTGATAACATTGTGCTTTGGTTGTGGGCATTGTTTCAACAACCTCATGCAACATCACAACATTTATTTCCATCAAGAGTTGCATTAATTTTTGGCCCGAGATCTTGTAAACTGATTTTAGCTGGAAAAATGACTCTTTGTTATTGTCTTCTTGCATCAATTATGAATATCTCTTAGTTTTATAAAAGAAATGTATTTCAAATAAATACCCCAAAGTACAACGATCATCCATAAAAAGTGTTTTGGCCGAGGCACCTTTACAAAAGTCTTAACCAAACATTTCACACATCATGTTGCTCCATCAGTAAACAGTCAAATTAAATGCAAATATGTTTGGTATATCATATTTTTGAACCAGGAAAAAAATGTAACGTTCCTAAAGGATAAAGTCTTTTAGCCATGTTGTAGCTCCATAAAGGGCCGAGCGAATCTGCATTTACATCAATTCATGTAGCAGATGCTTTTATCCACAGTGACTTACAAATGAGGAAAGAGCCAACAATAACTACAGTACACAGCATCAAGTTTAGAACAGAGACTGGGATATAGTATATGGAATAGTGGTTTTAGTAAGTTTCTTTATGTTTGTGTATTAATTGAGTGCTTGAGAAAGACGAAGACTGTAAAAATATTTCCTCTCTGTAGACAGAAGATGAATGTGCACCATTTATTCAGTTAAATTATTCCATTGTTTAGTACAAAGTGAATACAAGTTAAGTAGGCTATACTCTACCGGATTTGACTACATGCACATAAACACATACATAAGAGTATTTATATCACCCATAAATATATATTCAGGAAAGATTAGAATGTGCAGCACTGGATTTGGTCTTGTTATGTGATACTGTAGGATTGTTGTGGTATCTTGACTTTTGTTGAACTGATGGCATTGCATTCAAGCTGCACACTTTATCAGAGGTTTAACCTGGTGCAGAAATGAGTTTTTTGTAAGCTGCTTTTTATCACTTAATTAGAAGCACTGTTACATCGTCTGTTACATGAACAGACATTCAGAAATTTATTACAGACACTATAGCATCAGGAAATCAAAGGTTCTACAGCAGAGACGGGCAACAACACTAGTCCTGCAGAGTTTAGACAAGCATAGCTCCGTCCTTAATCAAACACACCTGCCTGTAATTCTCTAGAAATCCTGAAGACTTCGGTTAGATTCTTCAGGTGGGTTTGATTGGGATCGGAGCTAAACTCTGCAGGACAGCGTTGTCCATCCCTGTTCACTTGACCAAATACCTGAAACACATCATGTAAGTAGACTGGGAATCAAACCCATGAAGATTAGTGTTTTTGTGCTCATACTGTACGTCCAGATTAAACACACTGCATTAGTCAGTCAGGCGTCTAAGCTGTTATTACTCAGTAAAGGCTGACAGGATTCAGCTGATTCTACAGGTTATGGATCATCACTGGACTCTACAGCTAATTCTGCAGGTTTTGGACAATCCAGGATTCTAAGTGGACTTGGATCACCTGCACCAGGATTGAAGAGAGGAACGACTGATTCAGAGAATCTGCTGCTGATGGTCAGGAGATGTGTACTCTCTTTGACGTTGTAAAATGACAGCAGACCGTCATCATAATCGAACAGAACTCCCAGTCGTTCAGGTCTCGGTGTCAGTGAGAATCTAATCGATGGATCAGTGTTGGTGTAAAAGCCATGAGGACCGTCTGAACACAAGAACCAGAAACCAGCTGATGGAGTTAAAGCAGATCTGTCTCTTGCAGTAAAATGTCCATGTTTCACCACACCAATTATCCAGAAGTTTTTGGGAGGGTAAGGTGAATGTGCCAGCTCTACCTCCCAATAGTGACGACCAGAGGTGAATCTTTGGGCTCCAAATGCACATAATTGAAATGGAAATCCCTCTCCAGTGTGCTGATAATCTTCACTGTCCCTCACGGTTTTACAGTCCTTAGAAACCTTCAGATCTGGATGTGAATGCTCACGGTCAATAGTGATCTCAACTGTGAGAAATAAATACATGAGCAACAGTTATTAATCCTCATGTATATGAGATGATGTTCACACATGATGAAATATATGCATATATAACTGAGATGACGTCATACCTGCATGTTTCCTCAGTTCTTCTATATTAACGTCTCCCGCAACTACAATAAAAATATATATAATTTGTGAGTAAAAACTACAGCTATAATTGAAAACTTCTACAGTATTTATTTACAACAGAAATGAGTCTGTTATGGAAAGTAAATAACAGTAATAATGATAAGTGAATAATTGTGTGACAGTGGGAGCGTCACACAAGATGCTCTTTATTCTGATAGAATAACTTATGAAATATGATAAATGATGTGATAAATTGTAAAAATACCAAACAGAAGCATTTTCACTGATGCTTTCAGACCTCTGGATGTCACTGTGTGAAATAAACTGGTTTATAGTGAAATGACGTGTGTGTAGAGCGTTCAGTGTATTTGCACTCACAGCTACAATATTCCACTCAGACTCACCAAACATGTCATATTCATGTTACTGTCTGCTATAACATACATGAAGATGTTTATTTAACGATTAGTGAAGCATTTCAGCAGTTCTTGTAAAACATAGCAAAGAACAAACGTCTTCAAATACCTTCTTTTATCAGTCTCTCCAGAGTTTCCTCCTCACAAACTGAAATGAGAGAAAATATCAGCGGAAAGTTTAATTATCAATCTGCTTCACAAATACTCCAGACTCTGTAAACCACATTGCATTACAGTTTAACCTCTCAGATATTGACTGGCATAAAAACATCTTCTTTAGCTGTCTCAGAAACAGGCATGTTCTCCCAGTAACACGGTCTGAAAGGGTTCATCAGATTCATGAATAAGTTCATGTCACTTACTTTCTTTAGCTGGTTTCTTTCCTGCAGAACAGATCAAAAATATCAACACATGAGATATGCATGAAACAAAAACCTGCTGAAAACCACATCTTTAAATCCCTTCAGCCAGATTGTACCTGTTAGTTTGTCTCTGTATTTGTAGAGGATCAGCCCAACCAAACCCAGAAGAGCACAGATGAGAACGGAGAAGAAAAGAGCCTTCCATGTACCTGATGAATCTGAAAATGAACCCCTCTCTGGAGCGAAATATATCATAATAGAATATATAGAAAAATATAGAAATTATAATAATTACGTTAAAAAAAATCAACTTTTCCTGAAATGAACTATTCCTTTAATAAGGTTTAGATTGAATTGTAGTTTTTGACTCACCCGTGATTTTGAGGTCTACTACTTTGCTGTCATATTTTCTGTCTCCACTCACTTCACAGTGAAATGAATCTTCATCCTGAAATGTGAGTTTCTCCAGCCGTAGAGAGACGTCTCCATCCTTCAGTCCACCAGACTGATCTGACCGCAGAGCCAAAGAGCTTCGGTTCCTGAAACATTCCTGGACCTCTTGGATCTTCCCATCGCGATAGAAGACAATGGGGTTGTTGAACTGATCACGACGGTACCAGCGGATCTCCAGAGCTTCAGCGTTCTCAGGAGGAGAGATCCAGCAGGGAAGAATCACTGTGGATCCCACATGAGCCACTATAGGATCACCAGGAACCACTACAGTGAACGACACTGAGAGACAGACACACACACACTCAGTGAAATATACAGTGCATTAGTATTTAATCTGTTTTTATTTCATACGTTTAAATTATCATATGAAATAAATATAAATTTCCCTCTTTCACCGTGTCTACACCGGATGCGACAAAGCGACTGCCACTGCAAATCATTTGATCTTTGTGTCAGTTTGTCATAAACAGAACCAGTGTCTTATTTCACTATAATTTTATATATTTAGTTTTAAAAATGTTATTTTTTTCACGGTCAATTACAGGCAGTTTCTTCATCTTCCCTCATAGGTGCATCCCATACTGTCAAAATGATGATTGGTCTTTCTGTTAGTTCCACACACAATGCTATGTTTGCGAACATCTGCTGTACCGTTGTCTCAGACTGAGGAAATGCTTTACAATAAACTTCCTTTAATGCAACTAACATTAACAATAGACTATTTGTTAACATTTATAGGTAATAAAAATACAGCTGTTCGTTGGTATTTTTGTTAGCTCAGGTATGAATGTTAACAGATGCAACTTTTAATTTTAATAATGTATTAGTAAATAATGAAATTAAAATGAATGTGTGACGAGAGGGGCGGGGCCGAGAGCCGTGGGAACGGAGCGAGGCCGGTGGAGTAAATGCTAATGCACAATTAGCTCGAGTCCCACCGTCCGCGAGGGGCTGCCGCTTTACTTTAATTTTGTGTTTGTTTATTTTATTTTATTAAAGTTTTGTTTAAATGTTTGCCGGATCCCGCCTCCTTCTTCCCGTGACTACAAACTTTGTTACATTGGTGCCGAAACCCGGGAGGGGGGAAGGAGGGACACGCTGCCAGAGATCCCTCGCCGCTGTGGTGAGTCCGCGGTGCCATCGAGCATGGCGGAGCAGTCTGCCGCCATGGACGCTCGAGGCGGTGGGCTGGAGTGAGTTGCCGGGGGGG